GTCATTAAGAGCGAAGCCCTGTCATCTTTCTGGGGTTTGATGTTTTTCGTCATCAGATCAAACAATCTGTCAGGATTTTCCTTTTGTTTTCTTCAGGAGGAATGACATTTTGACGGCAGATCTTCCGTCTGCACACCAATTATTTCCTCTGGCTCACATCTGCTGCCAGGTTTTTATTCTCTGAATCACTTCCCTCTCCGACGCCTCGAATCAGAAACAAAAAGCAACACGTCACCGAGTTTCCTGCCGCTGACAGGATTCCTCCACGTCTGCTTTAATTCATCAAAACTCTAGACCCAATCACTTAACGGGCCCAGCAATTCCATTAGATCAGGACCAGCACCTGGTCCGATTAGCAGCCCCGCAGCGAGGATTTGGTAACGAGTTGAGGGGGGATTTACCAAGAATAAAATGTGTTGTTTTTTGTTGTTTTTTTGTCCCCAAATCCTCCGGCAGGTCTGGTGAGTCCTGCAGGGCTTCCAGCGTCCTGCCGTCATCCAGCTCACATGCTGCAGATTACAGAAACATGAGGGGCAGATTGGTTTTTCCTCTGGCTCGCTCTGAGGCGACATGCAGCAGCTTATTAATGAGGGAACTTTAACTGGCAGCGTGTGGAGCAGACTCGTCCAAAACACTTCTCATTTATTAAAAGGGTGAGGAAAATTTACCTGCTTCAAAAGAACACACACAAAAAATTATTTTCCTGTAAAAACACAGTGAACTCTGGATAACTGCTGAAAAATCTCAGTTCAGAGGGAGAACACGAGCTAAAAGCACCAACACTTTAGCTAAAAGTAGCAAAAGCTTGGCTAAAGTAAGCTATTGGTGATATGCTAATTTCAACTTTTGCTACTTTAGTTGTTAGCCACATTTGCTACTTTTAGCTTCTAGCCATCCTTTTATTTTATTTTGCTTTCAGCTATTCATGAGCTAGGGACGCTTCATCTTATGTTTAGTTTTTTTAATAGGTAAACCTGGTTGTGTTAGCATGTTGCATGTTTCACTTGTTAGCTGGCTACCTTTAGCATCATTAGCTTGACATGCTAACACTCGTGCTTGCATCACCAACTACTTAGCTTAAAATGCTTTTTTTTWAATACTTTTAGCATAATTTGCTAACTATTTAGTATGCTAATATTGCTACTTTTAGCATAAATCCTAGCACCGTAACTACTTAGCTTAAAAGGCTTTTGTTGGTACTTTTAGCATCTTTTGCTAACTACCTAGCTTAACATGCTAATCTTAGGTAGTTTTAGCATTATTTATGAACTGCTTAGCTTGATATGCTAATATTGCTACTTTTAGCATAATTTCTAGCATCATAACTACTTAGTTTGATATGCTAATATTGCTACTTTTAGCATAATTCCTAGCATCGTAACTACTTAGCATAATATGCTAATCTTGGTACTTTTAGCATTATTTAAATRCTACTTAGTTTGATATGCTAATATTGCTACTTTAGGCATAATTCCTAGCATCATTACCTAACCACTTAGCTTAATATGCTAATGTTGGCACTTTTAGCATCATTCACTAACTAGCTGGTTAAACATGCTAATATTTGTGTAGCATTAACAGCTTTTGCACCTAAGTAGGAACACCTGGTGGTGTTAGCATTTTGTCAGGCTAGYGTTGCCTCAAACAGACTCAAAGGTTTAATTTTTAGTGAAGATTATTCACTAATCACAAAGTTTAACAGTTAAAATAAATAAAGAGCTGCAGAGTTCTGGTTAATTGTGTCGTCAGCAGCAGAAAGCTGAAACAAACTCAGTGAAGGAGGAAACCAGCTGCAGGGATGTCCTTTCTTATCTAAGGACCCCCCTGACTCCTCAGCCCCAGGATCTGACCCAGTCTGGTCTGTGTGGTTTCTGCCCGTCTACTCAGGGATTGTCAAATGTTTATAAATAGCATTTAAATAATCTGTTTCCAAATCTCAGCCAGACAGAGAGCAGACAGAGAGCAGACAGAGAGCAGACGACAGAGAGCAGACAGATAGCAGACAGAGAGCAGACAGCACCACGCTGCAAATAAGCTGCTTTTCCAGTCTTGGTTTGATGGAGGGAGGGGGGACATCTGTTCCATGATGAGTTCTGTTCAGAACCCCTGATCCAGTCCAAACCCCTGATCCAGTCCAAACCCCTGACCCAGTCCAAACTCCTGGTCCAGTCCAAACTCCTGGTCCAGTCCAAACCCCTGATCCAGTCCAAACCCCTGATCCAGTCCAAACCCCTGGTCCAGTCCAAACCCCTGATCCAGTCCAAACCCCTGGTCCAGTCCAAACCCCTGATCCAGTCCAAACCCCTGGTCCAGTCCAAACCCCTGATCCAGTC